GTAATAATTTTTTCTTTCGGAAAGAGTCTGTGCGAAAATTACGCGATGCAAATAAAACAGTTTGATTTTAATAATGGCAAGTTAATATTTGATATGATAATATTTGATTGATTAATATTCAATGTTGATGGTGTTGTTTGATTACAATTGTCTCAATAATTTTTATAGATGATGAAAGAAGATTAGTAAAAACTGTGTTTGATAATGCAATTGATGTGCTTGATGTGGAAGATAGGCAATTACCACAGATAAAATTTTTGTATCCCTATTTATTGCGTGGCATTGCCTTTCATCACTCCGGGTTATTGCCTCTTTTAAAAGAAATAGTCGAGCTGCTATTTCAAGAAGGTCTAATAAAGGTCCTGTTTGCTACTGAGACTTTTGCTATGGGACTCAACATGCCAGCCAGAACCGTAGTATTTACAGACGTGAAAAAATTTGATGGTGAACTTGTTAGATATGTACGTGATTTTCTTTTGTCTGGGTACTCCTAAGGAATAAAGTAAACGATTTTAATAACATTATCTTACAACTTATTTAGATAACGTCTGGTGAATATATTCAAATGTCAGGCCGTGCAGGTCGAAGAGGCATTGATACCAGGGGAATTGTGATTTTAAGGGCAAGAGAAAAAATGGCTCCCAACGCTATTAAAGAAATGATTATGGTAGCGTTTCTAATTTGTTTTTTTCAATAAACGTCTGTTGTAGAAATTTTACACATCATTGCTTTCTATAGGGTGAATCAGATAACCTGACATCGGCTTTCCATTTAAAGTATAATATGATTTTGAATATGATGAGGGTTGAAGGGATTAGTCCAGAATATCTTTTGAAAAATAGTTTTTATCAGTTTCAGAATACTGCTACCTTACCAGGACTTGAAGAAGGTTTAGTTTTGTTGGGATTATTTATAGTTGTTGATAGAAATTTCATACAGTGCAATTTCTAATATCAAATACTTGCCTAGACCTTCGTCTCGCTGAATTAGAATATTCTAACTCTATAATACCTGATGAAGATGTCATTGCTGAATATTATGATACTCGCAGGCTATTGGATGTTTACGCCCACGAAATGAGGCAAATCATAAATCATCCTTCAAATTGCCTTAAATTCCTTAAACCAGGGAGGTTGGTACGAGTAAAGCATGCTGACATGGATTTCGGGTGGGGGATGGTAGTCGCATATGGAAAAAGGGTGGTAAGTTATAATTTAATGGTTATATTTTAATATATAGTTAATTTCATGTTATATTTGAATTATGTTATTATTAGGATCAAAAATATATTGCGGACCCAATCTTTGAACGAACATTACAAGAAGCTAGTGACAGTCAAGACAACCAAACATCAACTACTGATAAATACTTTGTTGACGTACTATTATATTGTGATAAAGATTCTATTGTTGCTAAGGCAGCTGATGGGACAACTACTGGTGTAAGACCTTGTAAAGAAAATGCGATTGGTGAAATGATGGTAGGATACTTACAAGCTGGTAACATAAAATATTTTGTCTGTTTGTAATGTCTAATTCTCATACTCTCAAATTATTTTAACAATTTCAGGTTGTTCCTGTCGAATTAACTAGTTTGTCTTGCATAAGTCAAATCCGTATATTTCCCCCAAAAATTTTGACGCTTAAACAAGTTAGACAAAGTGTTTACGATAGCATTCAAGTAATAATTAAACGTTATCCTGGCGGAATAGCCTCACTAGACCCTATTGAAGATATGGGCATAGAAGATGAAAATTTTCACAAGCTGATAAGGGTATGTTTCTTGCATATACTTCTCATGCGTGTATTTACAATTATAATTTTTCTATGGATTACTAGAAAACCGAAGTCCTTGAAGATAAGCTTTTCTCAAATAAGCTTCATAACACCCCACAACTTTCATCACTATATGAGCAATATGGCAAAAAAGTTGCACTTCGTGCCAGAATAAGAACTTTGAAAAAGAAAGTCAACAATGTTAAATCCATCTTACATCTAGATGATCTTAAACACCGTAAAAGAGTTCTACGCCGAATAGGATATTTAACTGATGATGATATAGTTACAGTTAAGGGTCGTGTCGCGTGTGATATCAATGTTGGTGATGAAGTTGTTCTGACTGAAATGTTACTAAATGGAGTTTTTAGTGATTTATCAGTTGAAAAGATAGCAGCGCTTCTCAGTTGTTTTGTAATAGAACAACATGATAAAGAAAGGATTAATTTAAAAGAAGACCTATACGTTGTATATCGTAGATTACAAGAGATTGCACGAAACATTGTGGCTATATCAGTAGAGTGTAAGCTTCAAATAAATGAAGAAGAGTATCTTGCCAGTTTTTGCCCAGACATGATGGAATTAGTGTATAGTTGGTGTCAAGTATGTAATATTAACATTCTCAACATTTGTAATTATTAATTTTACATTAATTCATAAACTTTAATAACAAACAGGGAAAATCATTCTCAGAAATTATGAAAATAGCACCTAAATACTATGATGGTCATGTTATTAGAGTGTTTCGATGTTTAGATGAATTATTACGAGCAATGGTTATTGCAGCCAAAAATATTGGAAATTCAGAACTAGAAATGAAATTTCAGACGGCCATTAGTAAGCTAAGACGAGGTATACCCTTTGCAGCGTCTTTATATATTCAATAGATTGGCAATTGTAATTTAGTTTAAAGCTTTGATTTTGAGCGCAAATCTTTTTTCAATGGTCGAATTAACTTCTATAATAGCAACTTCTAATACAGTATTACTATAAAAAAATAAACGTAAAAAAATTAAGACTAAATAAAATTTAGTGCAAAGTTATCCTTGGGTGGGTATCAGTAATACAAACTCCTAAAAATGAAATAGCCAATAAACAAAATTGAAGATCCTATTAATAAATTCGTAAAACTTCTAGCGATGATTTCTCAATAACTATTTGATCAAATTCAGTAATAATTTTTTTATTTTAATTCAGTAATTCTGTAGAATCAGAAGAAAAAAATGTTTATTGAATTTGATTTAGTAGTTGTTGAGAAATCATCGCTAAAAGTTTTAAAACCATAAAAAATCTTGAAAAAAAAAAATCGGGTAAATTTTTCTTTCTTTGAACTTTAAACGACAACTAACTTCGAATTTGGTGAAATTTTTTTATTTTTATTTTTTTTTTCGATGTTAAGGTGACCTCTTGGTCGCTTTCCTTTTATTCGGTTATTATTAACTTTTACAGTATGGTATACACCATACCGTATACATATTTGGAGGGTACAGACTAGCCACGTGTGCAACTTTTGGTTGCCTATTTAAGTAGTCCCCTATTACTAAGTCCTACACTAGCTGTCGTACCTATAACCCTACCGGGTTACCCATTTAAACCCTCTGCGCCTATGAACATTAACTTCTAACCAAGCGAGAATACTTAGTACCCCCTTATTTTCAGATACCCGACTTAGGATTTTAAGACAGACCCACCTATAGGGGTCCTTTATCCTCAAGGTAAACCTGCTAGAGCCCTCCGTACATACAATCCGGCCAACCTAGACTTCGGTAACTTACGTCGAGTCCGAGAACAAGTACTTGCGAGCCGAAGCCGCTACCGTTACCTACTTCTGCCCTTGTAGAGTTTACTCAAACCCCAGCACACACTTTACAGACAATCACCGCCGTTCCTGGTCATCAACTATGCCCCAAACTCCCAATCCAGATGGCCCGGGAGGAACTAGTGGGCGTCCCCTAGTATTCTGATTGAATCCTTTTTCCTCGTATTACACGCGGCCTGGTTGGTATTAGTGTTTATCAAACACCCGGTCCTCGTCTGGTTTACTATTGGTGTCCGATTGCCGATGACGATCTTTTACGTAGTACCGTCGAAAGTTTGTGCTACTTCTCTACTTGGGACTTGCCAAGTGAGCTTCCGTGTGCCCCAATCCCTGGATTTACATAGTGCATCACTCATTTTGTGCGACTCATACGTAACACTACTGTTCCGCAACCTTCCAGTACAAGCTGGTGTGACCAAGGTTACAGGTGCCAACCCGTCAAATTACACACAGTTTATCGTAACGCATTTCTTAAATTCGAATTTCGTCGCCAGTAGGATTCGAACTCTTGATCTGCCACTTGGGGGTGCGACAACTTACCAACTACACTAGGTCACCACACCCTGAAATTTTTTTATTTTAATTCTGGAGATCATAGAATTAAATAAAAAAATTTAGGTCGAATTTGAATAGCTTAATGTCGAGAAATATTTAAAAAAAGAATTTTATAATTTAGCACAGGTGTGTTGTGACACACCCCATAAAATCCGGTGTAATGTAAAATCAAAACAAACCAGCAATGCATTAATTTAGGGTAAATTTTTTCAAAACATCACTATTTTTTTGATTTTACATTATACCTGATCTTACGATCAGTTCGATTTAATTGGTTGATTAGGTGGGTGTGTTACAACACAGGTGTGTAAACCTTAAAAAAATATTTAATTGTAGCTTTTTTTTAAAGACATCTAAACTTTGAATGAAGATTATTTGGCACTTATTTAGTCAAATTTGATTATTTTAATTTTATGATTATATAGAATTAAAATAAAAAAATTTTGATCAAATTTGTTTAGATAAGTGTCAAATAATCTTTGTTCAAAGTTTAGATACTTATAAAAAAAAAGCTGCAGTCAAATTTTTTTTAAATTTTAATGAATATTTCTTAATATTTAGTTATCCAAATTTGGCCAATATGTTTTATTATAACTCTACAAGATTATATAATTAAAATAAAAAAATATTCATCATATTTGAATAGTTGGTTATGAAGAAATCTTTATTTAAAGTATAAGTAAAAAATTTGTTATAATATTTTTTTAATTTTTTTAAAAAATTTTAAATAAAGTTTTTTTTTTATTTTAATTTTATAATCTTATAGAATTATAATAAAAAAAAATTAATTAAATTTGGATAGCTAAATGTTGAGAAATATTTATTAAAAAATTTGATTATAGCGGTTTAATTTCTATCAATGGTAAAAAATTGAATTTTTTATATAATAGTAATTCTCTTGTATGTTAGAAAGAAGATTCTATTACATTTGATTATACTGTTACAATACTGTGGTCTTCTTAACAACAATACTATAACAATGATACAGCTACAGGAATCTTTTACAGGTTTATAGCAATGTTTAAGAAGTAAGTATAATTTTTATATCTTTTAAAAATTATACCCTTCTCTTTGTAGCAGTTTGGGCAGACAATAGTTTATATATAAAATATATGTTTATTAAAAAGAAATAAAATAGCCTATTCTTAGATTTCTATTTTTAAAGAATCCTATAATATTACAAAAGAGAATTTAGGAGAAAGAAAAAGTCTGTATCTAAGTTAAATAGTAAACAGGTCTAAAGTATACTTGATGAAATTTACAATCTTTTTGTATTTTTAGAACTAATTGCTAATTGTTATAGCTAAGCATAATTTACTTGTGTTAAGTATTAATTGTAATTGTTAATCATTAAACATTAAGCATTAATTATTAATCATAATTGCTAAGTATAATTATTAATTACTAAGCATAACTACTAATTGTTAAGCATAATTGTTAACCATTAATTATTAAGAGTAATTACTAATTGTTAATTGCTAAATATTAAGCATTAAGGCTAATCATTATATATATCTTTTAAATTCTACTCTAAGATAAATATAATAATAACTAATAATTAATAAAATACAAATATTGAAATAATAAAATAAGAGAATATTATTATAGTGCTATAGTGCCATAGTGCTATCCTATATATAAATATAAAATTGGTATAACATGTAAATCAAAACAATCTAATCTTTACAAAACATAAAACTTTTAATTAGTTTAGTTTAAAGCAAGAGTTAAGGTTAGACAGGGCATAAGTTATACTAAAATTTTGCAAGAAATTTTTTTTATTAGAACACAAAAGATGGTTTTTTAAGTAAAATTTTAAGATATAACTAATTTTTAAAAATTTATTGTTTTTGTTATACAAAGAAGTGATCTGCATATTATACCTGATCTTAAATTTTAATTGGTTACAATCCCTAACACCATAGTGCTATAACACTATAAATTAAATCTCATAAAATAATATTAAGATAAAATAATAAATTAATAAAATAAAGAAAATTACTATGATTCACAGTCTGTGAAATTTACAGGTCTGCATTTAGCCAATCAAATTTACTACGGTTTACTTCAAAAAAAGTTTTTTATTTAAGTTATAGTTGGGTTAAAGTTATAATAAATAGTGAATTTTATAGTAAAATTTAGCAAGAAATTTTTTTACTTATAACACCAAAGGCGGTTTCTTAAGCTAAATTTTGTATTATAAGTAATTTTTTATTTTTTTCATAAAAAAACTTTGTTTTTGTTACACAAAGAAAATTTGCAGATCATGCTAATTCTGCAATTTTGATTAGTCAGATGCAGGGCTATGAATTTCACAGCCTGTTAAGATTAGCAATTCTCTAAAATAAAACTGTTCTATAATATTAGTAAATCAAAACTTTTTGTGAACTGATTATTAGTTTTTTTTCTATATAAAATTAAAGCAAAATTAAAAATTTTGTTATAGTAGACTAATTTTTTTCTATATTATCTTTGTATTATTTTTTGTTTCTAATATTATATTTTGTAAAGTATTAGAATTTGAAGATAATTTCTTAATATTAACTATTATATTTAATTTATACTTTTTCTAATAATTTTATTAATATCAAAAGTAACTAAATAATAGTTATAACAATGTGCTATTTTTATAAATATAAATATAAAATATTTTCTGTTTTTTTTTATAACCAAATATTTATAAAAGTGATAACAGCTATGTAAATATATAGAACAGAAGCATATTTAATTATTAATTATATTTATATAATTTTTTATTAATATCTAAATTAATATTTGCAATTATATTTTATTCTAGAAGTTTTTAAAAACTTGTTACTGAATGGACGCAAATTACTAACTCTTCCTGACGATCACTTGTACCAAATTTTTCTTAAAAATATTTGCTATTTACTAAAAATTTTATTAAGTAAACCACCTTTAGCTGCCTAAGTAAAGTTGTTCTACACTTAATTTTATTTATATACAACCTAGTTTTATAGCTCTAAAGCTCTTCATTACAGAGATATAACTATATTTTTAAAATTTTACTTTTTCTTTATTTATTTAAAATTTTATTAAGTAAACCTATATTGCTCCTTAATTAAAAAAGATTAAGCTCAACAATAGCTTCTTTTTGATATATAATACATCTTAAACAGATAAAAATTACAAATTTTGTAATTAAAATACTTCAAAACTCTGCTACAAAAACTGCTCTCTAGTTTTTTGCAAAAAATTTGCTATTTTTTGGAGATTTCTGTCTCTCTAGGACACCCAAACTTGCAGATCATCATTATTAATCAATATTAGTAATCAATATATACAACTTTAGCTTCTGTTACATTTAATTTTACACAAAACAATCTTTCTTTAATTGGTTTTAATTAATTTTACACAAATCTTGCAGATCGCAACATGATCTACATTGTTACACTTAGCCATACCAGCTACATCAGCTACAGGCCACATATATCTATAGTTACACATGATTATACAAGATTATACACACAAGCCTCACAAGCCGTAGTAGAA